TAAATGATTATTATATTTCAGAATTTAAATATATATTTTTTTTAAAAAAAAAACTATTATAAACTTATTTTTAAAAAAAAAAAACATTTATTTTTTAAACTATTTTTAAACATGCTCTTTGCGCATTAGTGTTTAAGATATGTACATAATTTTTGTTTTATATATAGATGAACTACAACAAAATATATCTGTGCTTAGATTTTAAATTTAGAAAAAAAATTGATAAAAAAAAGATAAATTTTCTATACTATATGAAATATTTTACCAATTTTATCACCCATTCAAGGTATTTAAAACAACACAAAATAAGATCCGTTACATATTTTAAAAAACTAATGCACACATTTGTGAATTATATCATCTTTCATAAGTTGTGAAAATTTAAAAGAGATATGAGGCAATTTGAAACGCAAGGAGCATTTTGCGTAACAATGAAAAGAGAAAATTTACGAACTAAGAAAAGTGCATTTTAAACATATATTTGATTAAAATAAAAAAAAAATAATAATTCAGTAATTATTAATCAAAATGACAAAATTCTTTGATAGAATTATTCTATGAAATATAAGGAATATAGTATTAGTATACAAAATCACACTGGCAATTTTGACCTAAATTTGACATTGTGAAGGTCCCCCTCCCCTTAATTAGTTTTATATTATACATAGTTGTAAGGTTTAACCCTTAAAAGCTTATTATTGCCGATTGTCTACTTTCCAGTTTCACTTACATTTCTTTAAAAACCTGAATGTTTTAGTTTCCGAAACCACACTTCAGGCATTTAAGTTATATTTCTTTGACGTTTGAATGTAAAGGGTGATAAAGTTTAGTGTGTTAGTTAGAAAGATATTTTCTATTTTCAAGTTTACTATAAAAAAAGGGATTCATCTAATTGAAAAAAAAAAAAAAAACTACTCATCTTTTGTAAGGCAATCTATCAATGTTTGATGATCAATGTGTTAGGTGTTGCGTTTGAAAATTTTACTGGATATATGCCAGATTTTTGGAAAATACTGTATGTTGCCAAATTTCTACATGCAACCTTTTTGAAATAAATACTCAGTATTATTACGCAGATTTTTTAATCTATATTTTACGTAAACTATGGCTACATTTCTATAGAAAACGTTTTTCTTTAAAACCTCAAAGTAAAAAATCGTGAATTTAAGGCCAAAAACCATTAAAACCTATTTGATTCTGAACATTTTTTTTTGAGTTTGTGCTCCTTTTCTTCAATATCCTTTTAAGATACTTTTAAAATCCTTCGTTTACATATTTATTTTTATTTATGTTTTTTAATTTTTATTTGTTTTTATTTATGTTATGTTTTTTTATTTATCTGTATTTTCAAAAACTTATTTCCAAAGGAAATGGATAAAGATTGGAGGGGAGCAGCTATATATTGTGACGGAGCTTTATCGGTACTTCTATTAATAATCCTCTTGGGATATCTTTGGGGCCAGGATGGCAATTATTTCCAACCAACCTAAGAAGAGAACGCGCTTTTATGTAAATTAGGAATTGCGTAAAGCTCTAAGTGAAGTTCTAGGAGAAGAGTCTAAGAGAGTTCTATGAGTCGGATCTAATAGTGCCAGTGAAGTTGATTTCTAAGTGGGTCCGAGACCAGAAGATTATCACTTAGCCGGATCAAGTTGGATCGAAGAATATATTGACGGTATAAGGACTGTAGCTGTTAGCAGTGGAATAGCGGTAATATAATTTAGATTAAGCTTTAAGACTAGAGCGGATTCTAGTAAGTTAGGAAATCATCGATAGATATAGATTCCGTGGTTTATTGCGCTATTTGTTAGAATTACAGTTTGTGTTTCATCACTCCTGATCATAAGCCTTCTAGACTAGTGTTGTTTTGCTAAATATAAATTGAGATCATAAATTAATTGTAATGATGGAAGGCGTTATTGGTCAATCTTTCATTTCCTCAAACATAGGTCGCGTGGATATATATATATATATATATATATATGTATATCTTAACTCATCATAATTAATGAAGCTTGGTTTTTGGTATATTTAATGTCACCATTATAAATTATATTGTTTTTTAAAATAAAGAAAAATAGCAATTAATGAACTTATTTTTAATCAAAATTTCTGATCCCATTTACCTTTTAATTTTCTGAATACGTTAATGGCTTAGTAATATCAGTAATTCTTAACAATTCCGATCCTTATTCATTAGTTAATTACATAAAAAAGAAGAAAAACGCATTTAAAAAATGATTTTATTTTAATTCTTTCTTACTGTTGATAACTTTTTTTATTGATATACCAAAATTTATTTTCCTGTCAACAAAACTTCTTATTTTCATGTTTTAATTATTTCTTTTTGATTCAAAAAGCTTTAAAAAAATATTAGGCATGTGATGCAATTTGCTGAGTTAAAAATCATAAAATTTGGTCCAAAAATAGAAATTAAGTAAGTTTTTTTTATTATTCTGTACATGTTTTATACTTGTTTCATCGTATTGCGTCATTAATTTATTAATAATCTTTTCAACAGATCCAAAATCTCTCTTTGCAATACAAAATTTTAGATTTTTCCTGACAATTAATTCTGTAAATAAAATGTTTCTCAAAATAAATAAATAAAAACATGAAATGTTCGGATTTTCACAAAATCACTACCATATATTTCCGAATATAAGCCAACCCGTGCATAAGCTGAGAAAGCAGTTTTCATTCAAACATCCAAACATTATCCGAAATTCAAAACCTGTTTGTAAATCAAATTGAAAACAGTTCCTGTTATTTTCAAACATGTTTTCATGTGGGCGAAAAATTGCCCAGCGGGTAAAACCTGCAATTTATATTTTATTTAAATTTCTGTAAAGCAGGGGTGGGCATTAATCGATCACAATCTACCAGTGGAGATTTGGTGTGATCGCCTTTAATAAGACCTAAGGGACATACTGGAAAAAAAACATACATAAGGAAGTCAATTAGACAATAAAAAAAAATGTCTGCAATGCAAACCTTTCTTTAGCTCATCACATCAACGCCACTGGGTAGACCGTAACACCTTGAAAAAATTAGAACTAGCTCGTACCCTAGAAAAGTTCACCCACCCCCTATTGTGAAGTAAAAAGCCAACAATGATAATTTTACTTTTGCTAATCCTGTCTGAAGCTGACGCAGTTTATTCATACTTATTCATTTATTTGTCTTTCACAAAATCTAAGCTAATTCTGCTTTGGAAAATGAGCAAGAAGAGAAATTCGCATACTGCACGTTATCGTCGACATATGATTAATGGGTTGGATCATGATGATTATTGTATTCAGACATTCTGATGAGTAAATGGGTATTTCACGAATTATTCGAAAACTTTGTTTCTGACACTAACTTTGAAGGATTTATGAAATTTTTTCTTCTTTTAACACTAAGGTTCTCTCTATTATATACACTCAACAAGTTAAAAGATTAAAATCGCTGGAGCATAGCTAACGGAAAATGTTAAAAACGAATTTTTCTAGACTATAGTTTTACCTAGATTAGTTGTTCCATACATAACCTGGTCCCTTTTGCCCTTACTTTGACTTTAAATAAGTTCTGGAATTTCTCAACTTATACACTAGAAACATAAGGTGTACGTTTTAAAACTTAATTTACAAGAACCTACTAATTTTTTTAAACATTATTTTATTCGCAGAAAGTAAGATGACTTAACGCATGTTCTTGAAAATGTGTTGAAAATATCAAAAATTAACAAGATGAGTTTTTCAAAAAACAAAGATCATAGAACAAATGAAGAATACTTTTATGTATACATTTAAAGAGAAATCTCAGTATTCTTACTGTCTCAGTTAAGTCGATGATGAATGAGAGATTAATCCTAAGCTTAGTCTCCTGACTTGAGTTTATGACACGAGAAAAGTTAAGATTATTAAGTGAAGCGCAGTAAATGATGTAGTTAAGCTCATATAATTTAGTTAAAATGTGCGCGGGAGTCTAAGGAGAATCGTAATGTGAGGGAGGATACTAGATTTGTCGAACATAAATTCAAGAAATGTTTAAATGTTAGCTTGTACTTTGAATTTAATTAGATCTTTCCATTATTTAATGAAATAATTTGGAATGGTCTCTTTCTTCATTGCTGCGTTTCATATTTTATTATATAGAGGAAAAAATATTCCCAAACAGCTTATTATTTATGTAATTATTTTATTTTTATTATCTTTTTTAACTCAAAAGCATAATAAATGTAGGTTCAAGTTTTATGTTTGTATGTACATTTAAATAGTGTAATTATTTTTGTGAAGTTTTAAATGGTTTTATATATTTTTTTTCTTTTCAAGATGAATTTTATAAGAATCTTTTAAATATTTAAAATTTTATTTATTTTCTTTTTTCAATTCCTACTATTAGTTTACTCTCTCCCTATATATATATAGTAATATAAAATAAAAGTGAAGAAGTACTAGAACCTACAGTGCTAAAGCAGGAAGAAATTGGAATTCACCAGACACAACAAATGTAGATACAAAAAAGTCTGGACTAAACTGGAGACCTATTATGATTTCTAAAGCTGTCGCTGAATTAGGCCAGTGAATTAGGGTTAGCAATGATTTATGGATCCAACCTTCCCCGTACAGCAGACATTTTCGACATAATAGGAAAAAAAACACACCCCAAGTTGAAAAGTTAAGCCTAATACAACACGTGGAAAAAAAACCTGATAATATATTAAAATGAAGTTAAAAAAAGAGAACAATAATGAATGTCTCAAGGAGAGGAATAATAAAAAAATTTATATAAAATATATATATATATATATATATTTCAAATTTTCATTCGTTAGTAAAATACTTTCTTTTCCTCTATTCAAGTTCAAATACATTTTTAAAGCTTGTAGTGGATGACACTTGATGTTCATATAGTTTTTTCAAATATTAACGCATTAATTAAATTAAAAAATGAATAGATAGTAACAAGCAAAAATAAGTCCAACAGCATTTATAGAAAAGAAAATCTTTCGTTGTGTCCCTGGGACGTAATGAATAGCGCGTTGGACTTCTAATCCAAAGGTCGTGGGTTCGATTCTCATCTGGGATGGCCTACTTTTTGAGAATATGATTTCTTTTTTACTATACTATTTTATTAGTATAATTAAATTTAATTAATGAATTAATAGTAGGCAACGAGCAAAAAAATAGTTCAACACCATATATAGAAAGGAAAATATAGAAAACTGCAAGGAAAATCGCTTTTTTTACACTTAATATTGTGATTTTGTCGTATGTTTATGCATATTTATATTAATTGTAACTATTTAATAAAAAAAGTTACTAAAATTAAATTTTTCTTTGTTGACCAAAAAATAGGAATTATCTGATTTTTTTTTATGTACTTGTTTAAGTTAAATTAATAATTAAGTCCGTTAGAGTCAATATTATTTGAGTTGAAGATAATATTTCTGATATGTACCTTAAAAGGCTAATAAACTAGGTTTGGTAAATTATTACGTGGCAAAAATAGACGTAACAATATTTTAGCTAACTGCTGAAAGTAATACTGTATTTATTCGAATCGAAGCCACTATCGATTCTAAGCTACACTCCAAATTCTCAACACGTTTTTGTGAAAAAATAGTATAAAAAGGATTGTCCATGGGAGAATATTTAGGAAAATAAATAAATAAATAAATATTAGTAATTATAAGTAAAATGAGAACTAATAAGAAGTGAATAATTCATTTACTTAAAACAATCTCAGTAGCTCAACAACCGAAGAGGGTCTAGGCTTACTGTGCCCATCTCAGTTTTCATGACCTTGGAAACAGAGGTGCATGAGAATATGTTTCGTCTGTGTGGGCAGTCTGACACGAAACCCACTGTGCTCAGTTCCCAAGTAAGCTTGGTATTCATTTATCGATCCACTGAAGGAATGAAAGGCTGAGTCGACTTTTTCCAACTCGGGGTGGGAACTCCTGACCTGCATCGTGGAAGCGCGGTACGCTACCACTCAACCACTTTGGACATTTATTAATTTATTTTACCCGAATTAAATTCTTTTAAATACATGCATGAACCTGTTATTGCTCTAACCATCAATATCATGTTCAATTTCTCTCATTCAATGAATTTTTCTGCCTTTGTTTCTAAGCCGAGCCCGATTTTCTATAGCATTAATATTGCGAAAAAAATACGGCTTAGATTCGAACAAATACGGTAGCTGTACTGGGAATCAGTGTTTATAAATATCGCGTTAAAAAGCAACATGCAAGCTATTGGCGAAAGGACCTCGTTATGTTGAACCACGGTTAAGTGCCGAGGACAACGCCTGAACTGCTATCCCCCTTCTCCAAACTATGACACCAACGGGAGAACTTTAAGCCCCGACTGATTTAACCTGGTCTGTATATATATATATATGCTCTGCGGATCTTTCGCTGGCACCAGGGCTCGAACTCATGACACGCCGACTACGAGTTCGTGACCATTATCACTAGACTACCACGGACACTGTTAGTAGTATCATCTTTTGAATAAACAATTATGAAAGTTAATTTTTCTAAATCTATATTCTGCTGATTTTTTGATACATTCCATATATTAATTATATCATTAATCTTTACATGAGAATAAAACGGGATTTTAAAGTGATTTAAGAATTATTAATAATAGATTATAAGTAGTATAATTTAAAACTGACTTAAAATAATTCCTTTGAAAATATAATCAATATAAAATATTGGTACAAAATTAATTTTGTTCAATTAATCAATATTTGTTCGCACGCGTTTACGTACTCTCAGTGTAGAATTCTTGTATGTTGTTAAACTTATGCAAGAGAATTCTAAAAAAATTATGTTACAAATTAGCACAAGGATTTCTAGATTTAAGTTATTTTCCATTTGTGTGAATAATGTTTAAATTTATTTCTCCTATTGAAGTTCGTTCACAAAAGGAAATTCGATCGAGGAATTAATGGAGCAAATTCAAAACTGATAATAGTTAAGGAAGTAAGTTTTGTGACCAATTCGTAGAATAAATGTGTTTTACCTCTTCCAAAAATTCTATAGATAACCATTTCTGTGTAGTGTGTCTGAAGTACGAAATTAATTTATATAATTTTAACGCTTCTAGCTTTGTAAAAACAATAAATTATGGTCCATATTCAACTACATTTTATCATTTGGAGACGAAATTTTACACTACTTGGTACATTTTGTCTACATTAATTTACAAAGTATTACAAATCTAATGCATCTAGTTAAAATTTATTCTTCACAACACCAAGCAACTCTAACAAGCGACACATTTTCTATACGTTTATTTGCGAAGCATTTCACTAATGGATGTAATTAAAACTTTTCTGATTTATATCCATTCACAAACTCTTTGGAGAGCCCAGTTTAATGGAAGAACCAAAATAAAATGAAAACCCACTCATAAGTTCTCAACTCATCTTCAAATTGAATAAAACTCCTAATACCATCAAAATATATCATTCAAAACTTTGGTAAAAATAATCAAATCTAGATACCAACGTGATGCTTTTAGACAAGAAATCAATGGAAGAAAAGACGGGGCACGGAGAAGGATGATTTCCAGACATCAATTCCCGGGGAATTTGAGAGGCCCGGAATAGGGGAAAATCCTCTCGGACAATGACGGAAGTCCCTCTTTCCCTATCATTTGTTTTGTGAGGTCAGAGGTCATGGGAGAAGGCCCCTGTTGACTTGTTTGAAGGTTACTGATTCATCCTCCGCTGTTTGTGGATGTAGTAGTTTTGTAGGGGATTGTATTTTAAGTGTGCTTATGTTTTTGTATGATACTCTTCAACGAGTTTCTGAATATTGATGCAATTTGCCGCTTTGATAATCGAATCCATTAAAAATGTCCCTGGTAGACACCAACACCAATAGTTTGAAATTGTTGTGAAATACTTAAAAGGTAGCCGACTACTTGCGACAACTTTCTTTTAAAAAAAATGGAGATATGGGGATTTTTTATTTTTTGTTTGTTTGTGATTTTTAGATTTACTTAATATATTTTAAGGAAAAAATCCTTAAATTAAACAAAATATATATATATATATAAAAAATGTATTATTATTAAAATGGGAAAACACTGGTGAAAATGTACAAAATATTACATAAACGGGGCCCGCTATGTACAAAAATTTTATGAACAAATTCTCAATTTCGAATTTTGATGTGTTACTTTGTTATTCATTTGTGTAATTCAAATATTTAAGGTTTAAGGCATTCGACTACGTTCGGAACCATGATTTTGCAAAAGCGTATAAATGGATAATATTTATGATATTTAGTGTCACTTAGATTAGAAAATGTATATAAAATTGTTTTAAGAATATTACTGCAATAAAAAATTATTTAAGTACAATATTTTGACAAAAAATGAACATAGAATGACCAGTTTTCAAAATATTCTCCTTTTCTGAAAAATGCTACTATTATAATAATATTTTGCCTGTATATAGCTCAGACCTCTCTACAAAGGCTCAACTAGAATTTTTGAAATATATAATGTAGAAGTAGGTTTAATCATATTTTACGACAACAGAGGGGAGATATTTTAAGAAAAAAACACCGATAATTATTTCAATTGGTGGTAACTCTGAAAACAATGCGAATTTTTCAAAAATCATAATTGAGCCTCTGTACAGAGGTCTGAGCTATATACAGGCAAAATATTATTATAATTGAAGCATTTTTCACAAAAGAAGAACATTTGGAAAAAGATTATTCTAAGTTAATTTTTTGCCAAAATATTGTATTTAAATAATTTTTTTTTTTGCCAAAATGTCCTTAAAACAATTTTATACAAGTATTCTAATCTAAGTGACACTAAATATCATGACAATTATCCATTTATGCGCTTTTTTAAAATCACGGTTCTGAACGTAGTCGGATACCTTAATAAAGGAAAGATTTAAAGTGACGATTCATCACTATAGTTGAATTAATATTAAATTAAGTTGGGTAATAGATTTGATCCTATAAAGAGAGGATCGATTTTGAAAGTCTCTTAATAATTTGTGTTTTTCACTATTTTTCCACTTATATTGTTAGCTTTAGGACATTCACTTCTTGTTGATATTAATTGAATTTGTGCTCATATTTTAAGAGATCAATGATTGGATTATGGCTAGTGTTTCTTCCCTTTTTCTCACACATCTAGGGGCCCAAGAGATAGTCCAAGTCTCTCACAAAATTACTGCCTGTAGTTTTCGTATTGTTTCGAAGTGCAACGTCAATAATAAGTCAATCAATCAATACGTAGCTTCAATATAAATACAAGTACTTATCATTCAATAATGTCGTATTTTAAATATTTCTTAACCTTTATTGGACGGGCAATCGATATTTCAGCGGAAAGGAATAGTTTCGTAAAGCTATGTATGCATGAGCTTGGTTCAAAAATTTTTCAAAAATTACACACTTACCTATTTTTTGAATATCATTGACCAATTTTAACTCTATAAATGTAAATCACTTGACTAAACTGTTGGACGAGTGGGGGTATAACATTTTATCTGTGTGTTTTACTTTCTGAACAACAGATATTCTAATTCTTAACAGGCGAACAGCTCGTTGTCTTTTTTATTTTTGTCCGGCTACACAAAATAGGGTCAATCCTTGATAAAACAATAAATAAATAACTAATGAAGTTTTTTAAACGTCCCATTTTGAAAAACAGTTCCTTCTCTAAATTATTTGGTCCCTAAAGGTAATAACATAGCATGTAGCAGCGTACAAATGTAGGCTTTATATTTTCATGTTCAATAACTTCTTTAAATAGAAATATTTTCTCAATTATTAATTAGCTTTTGTTCTTAAAAACTGGAACTTTTCTTTTTTAATTTCCTTTTTTTATATTGTTAAGTTATTATTTCATAAATATTTCCTTGATTTTGATTCCTTATTATATATATATATATATATATTTATATTCGTTATTAATTAAAATCATACTTTCGCTACACTTTTAAATGTGTAAACTACATTGAAAGTTTTCCTGTATTTGATCTATAACATATTTATTAAAATTAAATGTACACAATCCTTTTAAAAGTTCCAGTTATAT